AAAAAAAAAAAAAAATTCAGTGCACTCTAATATTTAACCTGGATGAAATATAATGTTCATTTTTTTCCCATCTCTCACATCAAGCATTAAATTGAATGCTTCCTCAGGGTAAAAGAAAGTCTTTCAAGAACTCCATATAATTAATGTACTGAATGCATCACGTATTCAACAAATATTTATTGAGTGTCTACGTGCCAAGCCATTCACCCTTACATACACATAAATTATGAAAGCACATAGTATGACATGGCACATTGAGAATAAGAAATTAAAAGGGCAAAGTGAACGTAAAATTAAAAAAAAACAATCACAACAAATATAACAAGAAGTTAATTTTATTTTTATCATCAAGTAACAACTTAAACTGGAGTTAAGTGCCCAGATCCCATTACACCTTAGAATATTCTGGCCTTTATGTGGTGGCAGAGACTATTTACTTAAAAATGTTTACTATATTCAAAGGTCCTCCTGGCGACAGGAAACATTGGTGACAGCATTTTTAAAAGCAAAAATCTATCATTCTTATTTATTGTAATTTTGACTAGATTTCTCATGTAAATCTTCTGCCAATTAGAGCTTAGATCATGTATTCAAATAGTTTGATAAAGAATTTGCCACTCTTTACATCTCCAAACTACAAGTAACAAATGTACTAACAATATTTAGGAACTTCTTGGTTCCCTACTAAAGTATAGAGATTCTGAAAAAGATAAAAAAGAAAAGAAAAAAAAAAACCTCATGAATTTGTTGAAAAGTTGGCACTGAAAATTAAAGTAAGCTGGACAATTATTTATTTATTTTTGAGATACTAAGAAAAAACTTTTCATACATCTAGTTGCAATGATTTAGATAGGCCAGCACTGGAGCTGCTTTCCAGATGGGTTAAACAAGTTGCCCAAAGCCAATTAGGAATAAAATCCTGGCCTTGGGATTCAGAGGGTTCAGTGCTCCGGGTATATGATCTGAAACAAGGCTGTGCCGTTTTAAAGTATGATATATGCTTTCAGAGCAAGTTACTTACTTCAGCACTATCCTGAATAGAAGAGCTGTTGTTATAATGCTAAAATTTGAGAAGATAACAGCCATGGCCTAGAAAGAAGGAGAAGATAGAATTACAATCCAAACAAAGTAGTGACCTCAGAAATCTCCCAGCCTGCTGGTTCACCTGACAAAAAAAGCTTTCTGGTCAAAAACCTGAGGGGTTATTAGGGCAGCTACTTCACTAGAGGATGAAATTCCATTTTTATTGCTTGTTAAATTTATACAGATATGATCAAATTATTGGACAGACTTTGAAAACTTGTTTAAATTCAGCAAATGCCTGTGTAAATAATCTGTTATGTGCAGATCAGGGAATACTTATCAACTCTAAATGTTTAGGTCTAAAAATAATAGTGACCTTACTTATGAAGCATACTTTTTCAGGCTCTTAAAGTGCTTTACAGACTTTTAACACCGTTTCCAGAGGTAGAGAGAAGGCAATTACTATTGGGCCCATTTATACATTAAGACAATAGAGGTAGAGGTTTTTAAGCATCTTTACTGTTACAGGAATTGAATTGGTTCTCCTGGTTGAACTGCAGTGATTCAATACCAGTGATTCAGTCCCAAACTCATACCTGACAGTCCCTGGATTTATTCACATTGCTCTACACACTTAGAAATGTGGTAGCCAGATTTCATAAAGATGGGTTTTTATGAAGTCAGTCATATTTCACATAGAGAGTATTAATCTGAACATGTATATAATTTGGCTCAAAAAGTATGAAATTTCATCAGTGCTCCTCCATATTTGGGTCTGACAACATTAAAAAAAAAATTAAAAACAAATCCTACTTATTTACTTCACTCTACCTTCTTCCTTGCTGTCAGTTTAAGTTCACTAAACTCCAAAGAGTATTTTTCACTAGTCTTATATAACCAGCAAGCATGGCTACCATGCAGGTAAATTAAAGAAATAAGAGTGAATCCAATAAAAACCAGAATACCCTGTATTCTTGTATCCAAGAATACAACATTGTTGTTTTTCTACTGAATTTTTTATGAGAAGCACTGTTTTAGGAATTTCACTGTGTCCTCTGGAGACAAATGTTTGTGAACCCCTTGGTAAAAGCACAGAAAAACATAAGGAGGAAAGTAAGTGGCTGGTAAGAAGAGGGAGGACACAGTAGCTCTGATCAACAACAATAATGGAGCGGATGCACCTAACCAAGCAGCCTGGCTGACCTGATGATGAATTTAGAACCTACTTTCCATGCAAGTGCACAGAATAAACAAAACACCAGAGCTCTTTGCCCCAAAATCTCTGTGCATCTCTATTTAATTCTTTCCAACTAGACTGGGCACAGCAATACACAGAAAATGCCATGTGATTTCTTTTGTAATATCTGTGGTTGTGCACAATCAGGAAGGAAGAGCAAAGTAATAAGGTAGAAGAACAAGGAAGCTGCAATCTTGCTTTCATGCTGGGGATATAGGAAAGGGATATAAATTTAGAGCTAATCTAAATAAAGTACAACAAATATATACTCATTGATGCAAATAATTATGTTGTTGGGTACAGGAATTCTCAGATCTGAAAAACAAAGTGGAAGTAAGAATTTAAGGGAGAACACATTCTAACATTCAAAACACTTACTAATAACATGGATCACATAGCTGAAAGGAACTTCAGGCGATCGATCACCTGGCCCCAGTCCCTGCCTTTGGGTTAGTATGGTAATGTTATTCTATTTTACAGATGGTCATCTTAGAGTAGTTGGGCTTGCCTAGTTATACAGCTTCTAAACTGTGCAAAATAATCAAATACCTGTTGTCTAGTTAGTGCTCTACTGATCCTTTTCTTCTTGTCCCACTCTCAAACTGATTTCGCTATACGTAAAAGGCTTCACATGGAGAACTAGGACCAATAAAAATCCTATTTATTATCAAAATGCCTGAATTTATTCTTGAAACTTAAAATACATTTTGGCAACAATGGCAACAGAAATCTTCATTTTATAAATTAAGGGAAATAAATACACAAATTCCCCCAAACTGAGTAACAGGTAAAAGCAAAAGCCCAAATTTTAATTCTGATTACTAATGGATTCCTAAATTGGCATGGAGAACACCAAGAGAGATGAGAAACATCCCTAGTATTATCAGTCATAGATAGCATTTATCGTTGGGAGAATGTATTTTCTACCCTTAAAGAACTCGTTGGTTAAATGATAGGACTGACAGAAAAAGAAAATCATATAAACAGAATACATTTACTACATTAAAGCAGGTGCAGGAAAAAGTAGAGCACTGAGTATACAATTTTCTGAGAATGTGGGGCACCTGGGTGGCTCAGCTAGTTAAATATCCAACTTTTGACTTCTGCTTAGGTCATGATCTCATGATTTGTGGGATTAAGCCCTGCGTCGGGTTCTGTGCGGACAGCACGGAGCCTGCTTGGGATTCTGTCTGTCCCTTTCTCTTTGTCCCTCCCCCATCCCACTCACCTGTGCACTCTCTCTCAAAATAAATAAATAAACATTTTTGAAAAAACACAGTGAGCAGCAGATTGGTAACTCAGTATTCAGATGATTCTGGTGAAACCTCAGGGAGACCACTGAGAGTAATGAGAAACTAACACTGATAAGGAAAATGATAAAAACATTAGTTCTGGGATTCATTTCTCTGTGTTTTTCGAATGCTATTTTCTATCATATTTACTTACAGGCTGAAGGTAGGAAATGACATAGAAGACAATTAAATTATCCAGGAAATAAAGAAAGGCAGGAATGGACCACTTCATGAAATTAGAGAATTCTTTCCAGGAAGCACATCTCAAGTTTCTACTTTGATGATCTTCTAAAGAAAGAAAGACAGCAATAAACAAAGAATATTGATGAGAATGCCCATATTTTTAGACAAAGCAAGTTGTATTTGATTACTGATACAATTCTTTGAAAGAGGTTTTATGAACTTACTTTTTATCAGTGACTATTAGCCTTAAGAAATTAAACACAATATAAGATTTCATTTATGGTCTCTCTTTCTTCAACTCCCCACCAGACCTCATCACTGACAATCAGCAACACCCTGAGGAATACTGATTCTCCTAATTCCTGTTAACTTGAGATAGAAACACCACTTAGAACAACTCAGGATACTATGGTTTTATTTACTACTATGAGAGCCTAGAGCAAAGAAAGAAGTTAGAATCCAGAGAAAATAAATCAAGTATTTATGTTGGGATTTTCCCCCCCAGGGGGAATCAGGAAAAGGAGTACCAGGTGAAGATTTATAACATACAGGAGCAGAGAAAATTAAATTTTGCTAATCCTGGTATGAGTTATGATCCCATCTCCAGAGTTCCAAGAACTCAGGAAGGTACTGTAACCAGAGAATGTAAAATCACATGCAAAAATAGAAAACAATTTAAGTCCTGCAAATTCATGAGATTAAGAAATATATTCCACCAACTAGAATCTTTGCACAAACTGACACTTTTAAGAATAAAACAGAAATCTTCTTGGAAAAGACTTTTAATACTTTGAATTCTGTTTACTTCATATGTGAAGGCAGATCACAGAACAGAGAAAGGTAAGGCTCAATAAATGGGGAACTAAGATGAAGAATTAATACACAGGAAGAGCCACAAAAGGCTAGATGCTTTAGATTTGAGGAAGGGATGAGTATCCCTGCTCGATAACTGATGAGACTGGAACTCAGAGAAGTTAAAATAATCCCGCCCTAGAATATAGTCTCCAATCCACTCTGCTACCTCCCTTGCAGGAAATGGGGGCTGTTTTTGCAATGTGCTACATATCAAATCAGACAGCAGTGATCTAGAAAATCCTGAATTTGAATAAAAATGAACTTGCTGTGTGCTCCAACAAAGGAACAAATAACAAGGTAGAGCGATGGCCAAGACGTGAGGAAAACATGGGCTGGAGTCCTGGCTCTGCCCCCTCCTACCTACCACTACATAACATCTGTTCTTTTGAGCCTGTCCTTGCTTTTGCAAAACATGGGTAACTGTACGTATGTTTGTATCTTAGTGTCCTCATATATAAAATTACTGGGCTAGACTAAATGACATAAAATCTTCCTTTTAGTTTTCCTAAAATGTTTTGATTCTGTGATTTTTAACAAGTATAGGGGCGCCTGGGTGGCTCAGTCGGTTAAGCGTCTGACTTCAGCTCAGGTCATGATCTCACAGTCCATGAGTTCGAGCCCCGCATCGGGCTCTGTGCTGACAGCTCGGAGCCTGGTGTCTGCTTCAGATTCTGTGTCTCCCTCTCTCTGACCCTCCTCCGTTCATGTTCTCAAAAATAAAAAAAATCAAAAAAAAAAAAAAAAAAAAAAGTAAGAAGTATAGAGTTCAAGACTTCAAGACTCACCTTTCTTTAAAATCCATAATGACACAAGCACACAGAAAACCAGTTTCACCAATTCTGAGCACACGTTCACAGTAGTTGGAAGATAATCATACTTGTTCTCTGAAATGTAACAGGCATTTTTTAACTATAAATTTTGTGCTATATAATGCTTGTATACAGGTAACAATTTATATCTGTTTTTAAACTTAAAAGCTGGATTTTAATACTGGTTATATTAAACTTCATCCAATTGGCTTTCTTCTCTTGGATTTTTTTAATCAATTCACCTAATGTATTAGCTATCCCTACCACATTCAGTGTTTTATTATTCTTGAATTTCTCATCTTTTCACTCAAGTTGCTGATAAATATGTTGAGGAGGCTAAGGCTATGGGCACAGAAGGCTTTGTGGTATGGCATTAGACATGACCATTATTTAGCACTGAGAGCCTGACTCATCAAAAAGCTATGAATTTAACTGGCAGAATTATGACCCAGCTTATGGTTCCTCTTGTGTCATTTGTTTGCCTTGCTACAATCAAAGTAAATGGTCTGTGATAGTCCCTTAACTTGGAATCTTCCTATCTGTTTTGCATCACGGCACATACAGAAAACAGTATTGGTCTGGCACTCTGGAATAAATGGTACGTTGGGGTAAAAGGAGCCAAGAGGCAACTGCCCAGAGCTCTGGCTACCTCTAGGGCTACCTCTAGGCAACTGCCCAGAGCTCTGGCTACCTCTAGGGCTGAGAGGAAATACTCTGATATATCAAAACCCACTGATGAGTTGGAAAGATCACTTATAAGTCAATCTAATCAGAAAATGAGGTTAGGTTTGTATGTCTTGGTCTTAGCTGTTACGTCTATTCCAAATGCTTACAAACAACTTGCTGTAAAATTTTGCCAAGGACAAACATAAACTTTAGTAGGTCCTATTTTAAGGAATGCATTTTTCCTATCATTTGAAACATTTCCTTATTTTCCTTGGCCATGATATGAAAAACCAAAACTGGCCAAGTACAGGGGGACAATGCCAACTCAACACTCTTTCTATCCAGAACACCTTTTTTCTTTTTTTTCCTGTGGTTTCCCTTGACCTTCTCAACCTAAACACAGTCAATTCTTTATTCATCTCTAATCCTTTTGTGCTACCTACAAACCTTTATAACAGTACCTGTCGCATTATATTATAGCTACTTCTTCTGTGTATGTCTTACCCTTGGAATGTAAGCTCCTTATGAGAAAGGGCCCATGTCAGTCATCTTGATAAAACTGGCAGTTAATGGTATTCTGCACTTGGTAGGCACTTGATAAATGTTCTCCTGAATTTAATATTTGCCTGTTAAACTTTCTCCATCATTCGAAGCCTAATTAAAACATCTCCTCCTCCCTTCTCTGAGCTTAAACCTAAACTGAAATCACACTCTACTATCTTCCACTAATACTTTGCATTGATCTCTATGATACACACGAGGGAACATGCACACACAAGAATGGAGGCAGAGGTCTTCAGAAGTCTCAAACTCTTACCACTGCTCCAGAACTCACTTTGACTTTTATTTACTTTTAAATCATATTTCTCTCATAGTAGATCCCAAACTATGATTCAGCATCATGTGGTACCTCCTTCCACTTAACCTTCTGCTGACACTCATACACCGAATCTACACTGCATTCATCCTTACTGATCTCCCATTAGTCCAAAGAAACAGGCCATAGCCCCAGGATGACCCATTCTCCCCTTTAAAACTTTTCTTTCTCTTCAGGAACTTTGCTTCAGTGAGTATTTCTTCTTCTGGCTTCAGTGTATCTCTTTTATCTTTCTATTAACTGGCTTGCTCCCCTTGGCCTTTAAGGATGCTCAAACTGTCCCATCCGAAAAACAAAATATACGATCCCACCCCTGCCCCAGCTACCATACTTTCTCCTTCTTTCCCTAAAACAGCATCAACATTCATTATCTCCATTGTACCTACTTTCCATTCAGGTCTTCTTCCCAAGCAATCAGGTTTCTGATCCCATCACTTTATTCAAACTACCTGGTCTCTGAGATTACCAAACATCTTTTAATTTCTAATTCCAAAGGGCATGCTTGAACCCCTATCTTACTATGATGTTGCAATTTCCTCTGTCTTCAAACTTATTTCCTTCCCTTCTATGAATCATGTGCATTTAGTTCTCTTATTTCTTTGATGATTCTTTCCTAACATCTGAGTGTCAGCATGCCTCTTAAATGTTGGCTTCCTTGGAGTTGTATCCTTGGCTCTCATTTTCTCATTCTGTGTGCTTACCCTGAAAAAGCCCTCTGGCTCCTACGGTTTTAAATAGCAATTTAATATTCATGTCTCCAAATCTGTATTCTGGAACATTAACGCTCACTAAACATATCCACATGAAGTACTACTTCCTATTTATAAATTTAATTCGTATTTCCTTCATATATGTGATGTGCTAGATAGTGCAGAATATGGCAACGAACAAGGACATAGCTCCTGACTTCACGGAAGGTAACTAACTAAAACTGTTCAATCTTTCTGAATTCTGTCCTATCTGCTTATTCCTACTAATAGCTTCCATCTTAGCTGAGAGCATCATCAATCCACTTAGCACCCAAAGAGGAAACCTCTGAGCTGTCCAATATTTCACGTCCTTTAGTCTCTACGTTCAATATTCTCTGAGTCCTGTCTTTTCTCATGTTTAGTATATTTCTTGAATCTGTCCTCTCTTCTCTATTCCTACCTCCAAAGCCATGGTTAGTCTTCTTAATCTGTGGCTTGTATTTGCAATAACCCCAACTGGCTACTCTGCATCCAGTCTCTTCCCAAGTCCATCCTCTATTCAGCTAGTGTAACAGTCTCTCTTATTCTGTTTATAATCCTTCAAGCATTCCTTATTCCCCAGACTCTAGAGCCTAGAAAATAAAGTCCCAGTTCTTTAGCGTGGCATATGAAGTCCCTTAGTATCTGATCATTACTTCCCCTCTGGTCATATGCATGCGTTCCTTCCTCCTCTCCTTCAAGTCCTTAAACTTTTTGCTCAGTCATTCTGAAGTACATGTGCTTACAATCCATCCTGCTCTTCTTTTTTTTTTAAAACATATCTATTTTATTCTATGGATTGTTGCTTCTGTTTTGAATACCACTGCCCACCTGTCCTCTTGTGGATCAACTTCACCTTCTTAGGGAAGTATTCCCTAATCCCTTTGCACTCCACATCCTCCTGTCCCAGAGAGAACATAGCACTTTCTACATAAAACTATCTCCACACCTTTGGTATAGGGCTGCATTTATTATACTGTACCTTCATGACGATTCAAATGTACAGCTCTCCTCTAATAAACTGAATTCTTGAGAACAACGACTATGTCTTATACACTTTGAATTTTGTTACTAATATTTAGCCTACTGCCCAAGACAGAAATGTTAACCGAAGTAGAGACTTATATACACATCTGACTCCCCAAGCAGACCATTAAGGGTCATGATGTCATACTTCTATGTGTCCTGAATAACTAGTGAGAGGCTCTCAATACAGCTTTGTAGAATTAAACTGTTTGTCTAAATCCAAATTCCTACATTAAAAAAACAAAACAAAACACAGAAGACTTCTTAGCTAATAATTTCAAAGATTTCAAAGCAAATAATCTGTACTGCCTCAATGATATAGTAATTAAGACTAACTCACAAATACCAAGTGACCAAATATATCCTCCTATTTCAAAGTAAGTTATAATTACACATATTGCTATAGGTCCAGAAATACCTGTTGATTAAAATAATAGTCAGATGTTATGATCTGTTCTGTAAAGGGTGTGACACTGTATTTAACCCAAATTTCACTCAGCATGAAAAATTTTTCTTGCTAAGGAATAAAAGGTTAAAGAATCAAACTTAAACACACTTTGCCCTTCACATGAAGCAGAGTACTTGCCAGGGTATTTTCTCTATTTTGCATACAAGGAGACCAGCGACAGGAGACGTAGCGTGTGATTAGATGCAAGTGTTCCATATATTCCAAGTCTTCACTTACCTTCATTGGCTGAGTATTTTACCAGTAGGATTCGACTTGAGCTCAAAGCAATGAATATGGTGCCTAGTAGGAATGTATACATCGCTGACAAGGAGCACAATGTGGGATGATCACAGCACTTGCTTTCCATTCCACTGGTTTTTAATGGTCTTAAAGAGAACATATTCGTGAACAACACTGTTGGTAGATAAAGCATAGTACAAATACCACTGATTAGTGAGGAACAGAAAAGCAATTTTTTAGATGTTTGGCTACAGTTGTATCCAAACCAAGAAAATTGAGGAGAACCAGAGAAAAGGGAAAGAAAATGAAAGTGTCAAAAGTTGTTGGGGGGGGGGGGGGACTCCAAAGACAGAAAGGCAGCGCCAGACTAGAAGTGCTGCTAAAAGTAGCAAGTGAGCAACTGACATCTGGGGACTGCAGAATTTTGCAGAAAGCCAATTTTAACTTCCATTCCTATTAGCAACTTTGCCCTAGAGGAGAATTTCAGATTTCCCTTCACCTCAGTAGTAGCTCTTCCCTAGAAAGAGGGACAGTTCATTACAATAATGACCGAAAGGGGAAGATCTGAAACAGTGTTGTGAATCTGCACCTAACTAGTGTTAAAAGTACAAGAGAGCTTAGAAATCAATGACTCTAGAGTCCTCTTCTGAATTGTTGAGGGCACTAAACTCTAGGCTGAGTAACTTGTCCAAAGCCTGCCTGTGTAAGGGATAGCGCACAGGGCCGGGAGGACTGGTGAGAGATGGGCTTGAAACGTCAAAACCGACAGCCCACCAGCGCGCAAACGTAGAGGTAAAAGAGACACCTCCCCTACTGAAGGCAGGCAGGTTTCCCTCCAGGCACGGCGGGGGAGGGTGGGGGGGGGGGGGGGGGGGGGGGGGGAGAGGGAGAAAAGCCACCTTGTCACACATGCGCAGTAGGGATCTCGAGCGGCGCGCCCTCCCCTCATACGCACGCGCATTTCTTTGCCAGCCGGGCGAGGTTACCTCTGTCCTTCCAAAGGGTTTTTGGTGGAAGAGTGCACATCCTACAGCTGAAACAGTAACTGTGTAGCTCTGCAGAGGCAGCAATAGCTTTTAGGGTCCATGGTCGGGGAAGCTACGGGAGGGAAAGAAAGGCGAAAAACCCCAGCCCCTGAACCTCCTATTCCGGAACAAAAAAGCACAACTACGTCCAGACTAGGAAAGAGCGGACCTGGCACCCATTGCGCAGGCGCGCTCAGTGTTACGCTTCCGGAGGGAGGGGAGAAGAGGCCTGAGCCCGCCCCAGCGAGCCCTCTCTCGCGTCACGTGGCGGGAGAGTCCTGTGTCACGTGAGGCCCAGGTAGCGGCGGAGCTACGGCAAGAGAGAGAAGGGGAAGCCGGAAGGGGCGCGAGTGAAGCGAGGGGGAGAAGACAGCTCCCGAGGAGGCGAGGGGTGCGCGTGCGCTCGCCTCTCCCCCCAACTCTCCCCTCGTCCCCGCCGCCCTCCCTTGCGGCCGGGGAGACACCTAGGCCCGGTCTTCCGCGCGCTGCCTGGGTTGTGAGCAGCGTGCGCCCTGCCCTAGCGATTGGCGCAGCCGCCCCTCCCCCTCGTCCCGTCCGTCCCGTCGCGTCCCGTCCCCTCTGGTGCCGCCGGCTGGGTGCCGATGCGAGTCGGAGGCAGCGGGGATTTTTTCTGACTCCCGGTCCCTGCCCCCGCTGCCTTTCCCACCCCATCGCGGGGCCGGCCGCTTCTCCGGCCCCAGGATGCAGAATGTGATTAACACGGTGAAGGGAAAGGCACTGGAAGTGGCTGAGTACCTGACCCCGGTCCTCAAGGTAAGCCAGGCCGGGCTTGCCAGGGGCTGTCAGGTACACGCTCAACTCCGCAGGGACTGAGGACCCGGCGCCGGGAGGGACACCATGTTTTCCGGCGGGGGAAAGCGTAGGAAGGTGGTAAGGGTGGGATGGGACACAGGCAAAGGCGCAGCCCCACCGGAGGTGTTATCCAGCTGCTCTGTAGGGCTTTCGGGCTCTTCAGGTAAACTTGGAGCACTGCTGTCGCCACCCGTCAGAGCTCAGCGCGTCTGGGTACGTCAAGTTGGAAGGTGGTCCGCAGCTAAGTAGATTTGAGAATGTTAAATCTTAACATCGGAAGTCTTTTGAACTTTTTAAACGAGCGTATTGCTTATCTTTTTAAAAACGAAATCAGTATTTGGTATTAAAATGACATGTCACTATTCCTCAAATTTCATAGAAAGTCTCTTATGATTAGGAGTTTGAAATAGTAAATTGTGACTGAGGTCTCATCTTGTTAGATTTCAGAGAACACTGAAATGCAACGTTATCTCCAACAGTACCATTGAACCTACCAGGCAAAACCTCCCTTTCCTGAGTTTTTTAAATAGCCGAAAAACTATTTGTAAATCTTGGATTTAAGTGATAATAAGGAGCAGCTTGACGCTCCTAGATATACTTATTTTTTTGCATTGTCAGTACGGCGTTTTTAAAGTAAAATTTGTAGCATACTGGTTTTAAAGCAGTGACTTTATTTTCAAAGATAAATTTCTACAAGTGCGTTCAAGTTTTGATGTCTTAAAATTTAAGTTTGTTGTCATTGTTTTTCCTTTCTGAAAACTGAGCAATGAGAATAAATGAATAGGGAGTTCTTAAGTGTTTTTATTATTTTTTTAAGCTTTCAGTAAAAAGTTTACAAATCTTACGGTAGGGATGAAATACCCATGGAAATGGTTGGTCCTCTTTATTCAAGAAATTATTCTGGTATGCTAGGAATAGTGGGTAGCTTTATTTTGCTCCCTTTCCATGACAAAGGGAAATGTTAGCCCTGTACTTACTTTTTTAATATTTATTTCCAAGACTGATTTTACAATGATACCTTGTTGGGCCAAGTAAAAAAAAGGGGAGGGGGATAAGTTTATAAATGGGAATTCTAACTCTTGCTATGCTTTTATATATGTTATATGATATATATATTTTTTACAGTGAAATCCCTTGTAATTAAAATAACTCATTCAACTCTGAAATTGAAAATAATTTTGACATTTAAATCAAATGATTCTTTTGCATATTATGTCATTTTTCAGAAATATGTCTACCAAGGTATGTAGCATTGAAATAATACATATTCTTTGGGGCGCCTGGGTGGCTCAGTCGGTTAAGCGGCCGACTTCAGCTCAGGTCATGATCTCACGGTCTGTGAGTTCGAGCCCCGCGTTGGGCTCTGTGCTGACAGCTCAGAGCCTGGAGCCTGTTTCAGATTCTATGTCTCCCTCTCTCTGACCCTCCCCCGTTCATTCTCTGTCTCTGTCTCAAAAATAAATAAACGTTAAAAAAAAAAGATTAAAAAAAAAAAAAAGAAATAATACATATTCTTAAACTTTTTTTTTCCAAGGAAAAGAAAAAGAGTTCCCAAATTAAATATAAAACTACTGTTTTATTGGTCAGTTGTATTTTATTGAACTTAGAATTATATTTTGAAGAATCATTTTACTTATTCTCCAAACTGAAAAGTGTTAGCTTGTCAGAATGTACTTGTTAGTGTGTATTTTTAGTAATAAGGAAAGCAGAATTATTGATCCTTTCCTTGCCTGTCCCTGTTTACAGAGAGAATCCTGTAGTTTCCTACTAGACATAAGACGGCAAGGAAGAAAAACCAAATCCCTTGAAAGAAACAGTGACTTATCCTAGCAAGTAGAAATTAAGAAAAGTCATGGTACAGTAAAGGCCAAAGTCCTTTCAATGATCTTCAAGCCTCTACTTGATTGGGAGAGACCCTTATCTCAACTGCTACTTTATTCCTTGCTCACTTTGGCTTAAGCCAGTCTAGTCTGTCCTGTTTGTTTCTCCGTTTAATGCTCTCTTGCCTTGTGTTTTTGTATTTGCCACTCCATCTGCCTAAAATGCTCTTTTACAGCTGTGTGGCTTGTTCATTTTTTTTAAGGTCTCTGCTCAGTAGTCACCTATCAGGGAAGTCTTTGTTTTCTCACCATCCTATTTTAAATAGCCATCTCTTTTCCTCCACCCCTGACCAGTTTCCTCTCTGCCTCATTTTTCTTCGTGGTTTTCATTACCATTTGGCTTTTCTCCCTCCACTAGAGTTTAAATTCCTTATGAGGACAAGGATCAGTTTGGTCTATTTTATTCACTCCTGTAGCCCCATTACTTCAAATAGTGCCTGGCACATATTGGTCATTCTAAAGACGTGTTGAATGAATAATGTTCATAAATGAATTCTTTCATTTTTGTAGACTGTACTACAAAATCTTACATTTAACTTAAAATTTAGAAACATTTGGTAAATAGCATCTTTGCTTTGGAGGAGAAAATATTGTATCAATATCTTGGTGATATAATAATGGGAAAGGACTAAATAATTTATGACCTCTAGATTTGGGTTCTAATATTACTCCATTGAAATGAGATGTTGGAGATGTTCACTAAATAGTAAAAAGTAAACATTTTTAAGACATCTTTATCGTTCTGTAAAATAAAGATGTGTACAAAATCATTGTAAGACTTAATGTATAAACCTTTGGATGCTTTTCCAAAGAGCTTTGCTCTATTATAGCACTGATCAAATTGTAATTGTTTCATGTCAGTTTCCTTCATTAGACTTGTATATTCCTCTAGGTACCAGTGATGCATTCTTTTTTGTATGTGCTCCTTTGCCTAGAAGGGTACCAGGCAAATAGTTGCCCACAAACATCTTTAATTTGAAAGCGAAAGTGTAATATGTTAATTCTTTTTGCTCTTTTTAGGAATCAAAATTTAAGGAAACAGGTGTAATCACACCAGAAGAGGTGAGTGTTAAAGATATTCTGAAGCTGTTATGTCTTACAATTATATTAAACTGTGTGGCTTTTTTGTTTTATAAGAAAATATCTTAAAGTTTAATTTTGATTTGATTAAAATTAGATTCTTTTGACTATATTAGCAGTTTTATAGGGACTTCTACTTCCTATGTGAGAAGAAGATATAACTTCCCTCTCAGTTTGCCACTTCTCATATTTCTCTGTAGTTCCTCTTGATTTAGAAATGGTGGGAGAGGGAATGGAAAATATTCTTGGTCACTTACCCCTCACTTATATTTGTGTTATATTGAAGCTGTGCAGGGAGCTCTTGTGGTGTTTGCTGTGTCTTGCCTTTGTCTGCATCAAACATGAGATTTCATGGCTTTTCATTTGGAAACTTGGCTTACTGCTTGTATGTTTTCTTTCGGTATTTAGCTTAAATATTTTATTGCTACATACTTAAGGCTGACTTTTTTCTCACAATTCTTTAACTTTTTCTACTAACCAAGTAATGTTGAGTCTACCTAATGCTGAAACTGATGGCTATTTTATAGGCCAGTTGTGTTTTATTGAACTTTTAATATAGAATTAGGTTTTGAGGAATCATTTTATTTGTTCACCAAATCTATATAATAAAAATGTTCTCTTTTTTTAGGTAGTTTGTTTTGTTATCCTTTGAGAAATAAATACTGTCCTAAAAATCCTTTTACATTCCAGTTTCATGAATAGTTACAGTTGCATCAGACTTACTTTCTTGTCTTAATAAATGGCGAAAATTTTAAGCTTCACCTTTGACTTTCATTAAAAATACCATTCGTTGGCAATAGAACTTTACTTACTGTTTTGAAAGAAACATTTTGAATTGGGCCATGCTTTGTGATCTGGCTGTTGCTAGAAATTCTAAGACCACACCTAAGAATTTATTGATCTTTCAGTTTTCAATTGTGATGGAATCTCTTGGGTTCCAAATCCTTGTGAGTTCTGAGAATGGTGTGCTGAACTGATCTTTTTATCTGAAATTGTCTTTATTTTTAGTGAAGACAGATGGCGGTATAGAAAGAACCTGGGAGATTGACCTTCTAGACCCATTTCTCTTAATTTCTCCTTTTCTGACTTGGGCAAATCAGTTAAGCTACTAGACACAGGCCTCATGTTTTCTCGTCTATAAAATGAGGGGTTTTGGCTAGACATTCTCTAAAGGATCGATTCTACCTTAGGCACCAAGAGTTTAATATTTTGAATACCACATAAAATTAAGTTTTGATATTCTTAACTTTCTTGCCAGACAAACGTATAATTTAGACATAGCTCTTAAAACTATCTGAAATCAAGAGCAGGAATGAAAGTATGCTATTCTTCTTCCACTCTTTGGC